CAGTGGACCAACACCAGCAGCTGACATGGCACCAGACCATCACTGACTGACAACTCTTCTCATTGTGCAGCGTTTTCTGCCACACTTTTTCCTTCCCACAGAGTGCTGTATCAAGACACCACAGTGGGAAGTCTGCCTATAGTTTGTGAACTAGTGCGTGAACCTTTGTATTGATGCTGCTGTGACACCTGAATTTCCCCTCGGCGGGACAATAAAGGCTATTTATATTCTATTCTATCTAATGAAATGAAACACAAGATTGGTCTGTGGATGTACATCTACAGCTGATGAACCTCTGTTGTCACCTCAAGTTAAAACAGCTGCCACAGATAATCAACTTCAGCAAAAACATACTGTATTAACTTTGAATTAAAATTTGGTGTGGTAGTAGGTGAGAGTCATACAAAGAACTAAAGTAAAAAAGAACAAACAAACAAAACAACAAAAAATAAAATAAAATAAAAATGCTGCAATATCCCCTCCGTCCAGCAGGGGGCAGCAGAACAACTCAGCAWGAACAGATTCGACTGACCGGATTTGGCTCCGACTCGCCTGTCTGAGCTAACATTGCTTGGGGTGCTAATTCATATCGCTTTTACAGGCTTTAATCGTTTTTCTGAGTTTTTTTTTTTCTTACATCACAGGAATCCGAGTCACTTTACAGAAGAAGATTATTCAAACGAAAAGCAGCAGGTAATTTCACGGCAGGTTGTTTAATCGGTAAAACTAATTTCGAAGAAAGCCAAGGTTTATAAATGCATTAATTTTGGCTTAAAATATACTCCCGTTGGTGTGAATACAAGTGAGATGAATATTTGTTTTGCAAGTCGCCAGAGTAAAAACACTTTTAGCTACTATCTTAGCTAGCTGGCCTGGTAGCTGCAGCCTGTTTACTCCTACCTTCAGATATCTTTGCCCTAACGATGTTCAACTAAAATCATTGAGTGTCTTAAAACTGCAGAGTGTTTCTAAATTAAGACCTTAAGTTTTAATTAAAGTCTCCTTTTAACTGTACAAAATATGCTGCTAATGTTGGAAACATGTTTAAAATGAGGCTTTTCAGGGGGTTCTGCTTTGTTGTAGTTACAATTTACTGAAACATTTAGCAGCATTATCAGTTGTTGTACACTGAACGGCTTTGTATACTGTAAACTTTTAGTGTCAATAAAATACTTGTTAAAGTCTGTAAAAAACTGTTTAAGACATAAGATAATCAATATTGAATATATGAGTGAAGCCGACACTTTATGCACACCATGTTAATCAGAAACCTGCCAGTGACTCGTCTGAAACCTGCTAGTGACTCGTCTGAAACCTGCCAGTGACACGTCTGAAACCTGCCAGTGAACCGTCTGAAACCTGCCAGTGACACGTCTGAAACCTGCCAGTGACACGTCTGAAACCTGCCAGTGACACGTCTGAAACCTGCCAGTGACACGTCTGAAACCTGCCAGTGACACGTCTGAAACCTGCCAGTGACTCGTCTGAAACCTGCCAGTGACATGTCTGAAACCTACCAGTGACTGGTCTGAAACCTACCAGTGACTAGTCTGAAACCTGCCAGTGACATGTCAGAAACGCGTGAATGTGAAACAAACCACTGAGGGAAGAAATCTTGGCAGTCTGAGAAACTAAAATATATTTTTATCATTTCCTGACATTATCTAACWGTCTTACTTCTCACAGTTTCCGTCTGATTAAAGTCTTAATAATAATAAAAAGAATAGTTATTTGTTCATGTATGTTTTTGTTTTGTTTTGCAGCTCTTGGAGATGTACTCACACTGGTCGGAGTACAGCAGCCAGCGGAGGCAGGATGCTGACAGGAGTTCAGGTCAGTGGGACGGTCGGCCTCAGGCCCACAGTCAACATCAGTGGGACTTCCATCATAAAACCCGTGAGGATGGACCGAGCAGAACCCGGGAGTTCAGCATCTCTCCTTACAGAGGGAGCAGCAGGGACTCGCTGCACAGAGACTCTGACAGAAGAAGCCCTATGAGGAGACGAGGGTCTTCACCTGTTCTGGATGCACCTGTAAAGAGAAGGCGGACCTGTGCGGAGGACCAGGACTTCAGATACAGACACCAGTCTTTTGAAGAAACTCAACCCGAGGATTTTAAATACTCGCTCCCACGTGTGGACGATTTCCAACTCAGGAGAACCCCTCCAGATTTCAGACCTGGGCGTCAGCGTGACGAGGTCACACACAGGGAACGACGCGAGGATTCAAGCGACCGAAGCTTTTCTGATTGTTTCAGCGACGAAGATTTTCTCAAACGAAGACGGGATTCTTCTCGAGAGCGGACAGGATCGCCAGATCGCTTCGCAAAGGTGGGACACAAGTTTAAATGTTTTAAACTCTGATGTTTTTATGCAAATGTGCTCTACTTAGGGATGTAAGTTATCGATTAATTAATTAATCTAAAGTTGATTGACTAACAATTAATTGATAAGCAGCCATTGTCTTAAAAACCTGACATTTCTCTTGAATCAAGAGTCTTTCTACAGTAGTATTTTAACAATTTATTGTGCCAGCCCAGCTGTAGTAAACACTGACTGAATAAACAGAAAATTGTGGATTTCGCTACATTATCAAACTTGGGCGCCCTCTACTGGATGAAGTCAAAACTACACCGAAATGAGGTTTAAAGAGATGTTTTTAAGTAATCGAATGGAGGGAATTTTAATCTGATAAAACATTATTCGACCAAGTTGATTAACTGTTTGCATCCCTAGCTGTAATGTAATCTCATGTGAAACAGAAATATCCGAGTCCCAGAGAGAGGACGGACAGCCCCCACACATCTGTTCATTATGAGGATTACCAGAACAGATCCAGCAGGCAGGTAGGTTTAAGTTTTTACAATAAAAACTTACTTACTTCAGGACTTTTTATTAGGAAATTAGGGCTTAAATAGGAATGAAGTTTGTCTCTAAAAGGTTTTAAATTATATAAAACTTGGAGAAAGAAGAGTTCAGCTGGTCCTGATCTGTGTTTCCCATCAGTCTTCTGAAGGTGACGTCGCCCCGTGGAGTTCTCCAGCCCCTGAGAGGAAATTATCTGCTGGCTTTCAGCGWTTTCTGGATGTGCTCAACATGGGCGTGAATGTCGATACGCTCAGCAAGATTGTAAGTCAGACCTCTACAGAAGTCGGTGATGAATATATTTCTCAGAGTCCTTTAGTGAGGGCTGCAGACCGTTCACGCTCGCCCGGTTTCCCTGAGAGGCGTCAGAAACCCCGGCAGCACAACAGCGGAGCCACGACGCGCAGGCCACCTGGCAGCCGCTCCTCTGGTCCAAACAAAACGCCCGCTTCTGATGAAAGCGTCCCTCGAAGGTCCGACGGCAGCGGAAGTCAGAGCAGGAAGTCTCCCTCTGTGGAAAAGGTGTCGCTGACACCCGAAGAGGAGGCAAAGCGCAAACAGATGCAGGACGTTCTGCAGGCCATCGGCATGGACCTGGGGCTCGACGAGTTGGGCCAAATGACTCATCGGATCCAGGAGCGCCTGTACGGCAGGAAGAGCGACGACCAAAAGGTGAGTCAAGAGCTGTCCCCGAGACATCGAAGCAGATCGACGTCGTCCAGCGGGTCTTCGTTCGGCCCGCCGAGTCAGGACCTTTACGAGACAAAAGACCAGCGAAGACCTCCGAGGTGTTTGACGGAACTGAAGCAGTCGGCTGAATACAACCAGAAGATAAACAGATTTCAGCACGGTGAGGACAAACCTGCTGCAGTCAAGCTCTCTGCTCCAAAACAAACTCTGACACAACCTGCACCTGGTCCTGGTCCTGCACCTGGTCCTGGTCCTGGTCCTGCACCTGGTCCTGGTCCTGCACGTGCACCTGGTCCTGGTCCTGGTCCTGCACCTGGTCCTGGTCCCGCACCTGGTCCTGGTCCTGGTCCTGCACCTGGTCCTGGTCCTGGTCCTGCACCTGCACCTGGTCCTGGTCCTGCACCTGGTCCTGGTCCTGGTCCTGCACCTGGTCCTGGTCCTGCACCTCCCCCCGTCACTTCCCCCCTGCTGTATCCTGCACACTTTCCACCTGTGCCTCCTCCTTTCTCTCCACCTCCTCCCCCATGCTTCCCTCCAGCCCCTCCCCCACATTTCCCTCCACTTCCTCCCCCACATTTCCCTCCAGGTCCGCCCCCACCTCCTTTCCCCCCTGACGTCAGACCAGAAGATGTCCCAGCTTTCATGCACCAAAAAACGCTTCTTACCTTCCCCCCCCGTCCACCTTTTTGCAACCCCTTCCCCCCCCGTCCACCTTTTTGCAACCCCTTTCCCCCCCGTCCACCTTTTTGCAACCCCTTTCCCCCCCGTCCGGGTCAAATGGGACACCTAATCCCACCGCCCAGACATCCTTTTGGTCCGCCTGCGCATTTCCCAGAACCCCCCGAGTGTTCAAAAAAGAACTCTGCAAAATACCAGATGACTCGCTGCTTGCTGGTTGTTAAGAGTAACCAAAGTGAAAAACAAAGTGGTGACAAAAACAAGTAAAAGAATAAAATATTTTTCACATTGACAGTTGATGTGTTCCTGAATGTAAATGTTGCAGAATGTGAACTACATGTGTGGGTTTACCTGACTGTAGTTTGTTTTTATACTTTGCAACGCGTTCTGAAAACAAAACAAAAAATTCTGATTTTGGTTGTTTTCTTTTTAAATGCTACAAAAAAAATGCAAACCTCAACCACACCAGCTGAAGACGGCTCTTCTGTGGACTGTGACTGGAATAATGCAACCAGTTTTTTTTATTACAAATTACACGTTTGTAAATCCCATCAAACAACCATCACAAGCAAAGATTATGAATCAGCTCATCAGAGAAACATGATCATTTCCTGCTAGTTTCAGTAAATTTAAAGATCATCTGCTGCTTGTGTTTGTTTAATAAAGCTTGTGTTGCAGAAGAACAATAAAACAGTACACAGCTCATTAATGTGACATTTTGTTAAAACACTGTTTCTATTTGTACATACATGCAGAAATCCTTTGTTTACTTAAACAGTATATAATAAAGACTGTTCTTTAAAGGGATCTGTGGAGCACAGTTGTTTCATTAAACCGTCTATAATTAAAAATATCCACACTTCAACCTGAACAACCATTTTGCAGAAAGTCTGCCTCTGCATAAGGAAGTAAAATTCCACATTATTATCTTGTTTTAGTTTTTGGGTTATTTTAATTGAAACGGCAAATGAGGACTAATGGTGACATTTAGAATTTAAATATTTTGTTAGAACAAAGTTGAGGTGGTGGTTGTTTTCATCATTCGAAAATACTTGGCAGTGAGAGCTTGGATCAACTTCCTTATTTTAAGAGTTTAATCATTGCTTAATTTTGGTGTTTTGATAATGTCACATATTTCCATCTGTGAGCAGATTTGCTGAGTTGCAGTAATCGGAGAGGAAGTTGAACTCTGAACTGATGCTTGTCCTCTGAAGCATCCATCTGCTCCGGGGGCAGCAGAAGCGAAAGTGTCTAGCTTGCATGATTTATTAATTGTCTTGTATCAAATAATGTTCTGTCATGAGGTCTGCATTTTCCCCCCTCCCTTAGGCAGTCTCATGACCCAATGTAACTAGGGGCGTGAAAACTAAATAAAAGAGGTTGAACTGCAGGGGGTCTCTGAGAACGGTGGATTTGGGTGTACAAGAGACTTCCTGTCCAGCGTTCTCCTCACTTTGATTCTAAACCTGGTTTGATTGTTTCATTTGCTCCCCTGTTTTTGTATATGATTAGGAAAAACACCTATCATATTTTTATTTCAGTTTTTGGTAATTGAGCAAAAAATAAAAAAATAAGTTCAGGGTGAGGTGCTTTAAACAAACCTAACATTCTCAGCTTACTTATACCTGTTTGTTGCCTAAAATACATTTTATCACTTCTTTAGTAGAATCAAATCCAAGATTCATTTAAAAATAACTAGAATATCCCTGATTTTATAAAAAATAAAATGGGGCATAGCTGTACTTATAACTATAAATAGTTATGCAAACGCGTGTACACAGTGTATAAAAGTTAAAAGTTGAAAATAAAAAAAACTTTTTCCTGCAGTTACCCTCCTCCCACCAGCAGGGGGCGCTGCCACATAGTTAGCGCCTGAGAAGCCCTGAATGGCAAATTCATCTTTCTCCGGTGCTCTGTATAACTATTGTTGTTTGTTGTTAAAAGCCAAAACAAAGTAATCGGTCTTCGTTTTAGAATTTCACATATTTCTTGCCTAAAAGCAACGTTTTGTCTGCGGTTTTATAGAAGACGTTCGACCCGGAAAAGTAGGTAAACCCACATTAGCTAGCTGCTATGCTAACGCCGTGTAAACAGGATTTGTTTTGTTGCTTCTTTGCTCACGAAATAACCAAGGCTAACATTGTGTGCACTGTGTGATTTTTAATCACGTTATGTTGCATAAAAAGTCCTTAAATGTTAGTTATTGCTGTTCTGATGTGACTGGTTTGTTGATCTGATTTGATTTCTCATTATTATTAATATTATTGTTATTGTTATTATTATTATTCTTATTCTTATTATTATTATTATTTTACTTGTGTGTTTGTTTCCAAACCCTCAGAGACGTCAATAAGCTGCAAGAGGCTGGACAATGAATCTGCAGTATCAGAATCATAATGTCCCAAGACAGCAGACTCAGATGGACCCAGATCTTCAGTGGGGTGTGGAGAACCCCCTCAGGAGAGGCAGACATTTGGCTGCGGAGCCTCCGGGCAGCAGGGTTTTTGGAGACAGAAAGGCCCTCGGACCTCCTCCCCCGAGCTGTGAAGACCCAGACGGAGAGCCTCTGGGTGAGGAGGACCCTGAGTTGGTCAGGAAAAAGAAGATGCTTCAAAAGTTAAATGAGAAGATCTTGTACAAGAAAGCTGCCATCGCCATCAAAGCGGTTAAAGCGTCCGTAAAAGACCCGCCTGCGCCGGATGATTCTCGTGGCGAGCAGACGGACGTGGGCAAAGGTGGAACTCTCAGAGACAGAGTGACGCAGATTCTGGTACAGCATCACTTCAGCCTTTATGCTAAGGTAAAGGGACCTCGATGCATCCTCATTTCACAGATCATTTCAGCGTAAACATCCCACTTACCGTGATGTTTCATCCTGTCGTTCTCAGCTCCTGTCGTCTAAAGACAGACCCAAACCGTTCACGCTGAGCCAAGAGAGTCTGCAGCAGGAAGAACATCCGCTGAAGCTCAGAGTGAAGGCTCTGAGGATGCACAGACTCGATCGCTCCAGAGTTTTACCCTCTAAAAAAGAGAAGGTTTGTGATGTGTTTTTAAGAAATGTCTTCACAAAGTTAAAAATATCACATCCTGTTTGCAAAAATGTTATATTATTTAATGAAACTGTAACAAATGCACATCTAGTTGACCTTAGTAGACATAACAGTTACAATAACTAAGGTTATATTTACAGATTTTAAGCTAAAATTGAGCTTTAGAGTAGCTGAGAGTCATTCTCCTGCAGATAATCTAAGAACAAACAGACCCAGACTTGTGACTGATTTTTATTAAAGGAATCCATGATTAGTTGTAACATTAGACTTTATTTGATAAACATATATTTTAACTGTAAAATAAAGACTAAAAATACTGTAGGATGTTTAGTTTTGTAAATGTTTAAAAATATATTTTAACACGGACAGAGCCATTTTATTTGCACACAAAGCATTCTGGGTAAATGATGAYGTGGATAGGTCCTCGGTGCGAGGCTGCTAGCGAGCTATATCCACCCTGAAGGTTAATCTTGGACAATATCTGATGATCGACTCTTTTAAATGAAACCAGAGAGCGTTGACAGAGAGGAGAAGGTAGAAATGACTCAGCCTGGAACTGAAAATATGGATGGAGGACAACAGAGCTGCTTCATGGAAGAAGAACCTCAGCTTAGCCTGTTAGCTTTAGCACTAGCCCCAGTGCTATCACTATATTAACGTATTAGCTCAGCGCTACACATTCTCCTCTCGTCACTGAGGTCCTCCATCCACATGACAGAGAGGGGAACACAAAAATGACTCAGCTGTAACTGAAAATATGGATGGAGGACCTCAGTTTAGCTTGTTTGTTGCGCTAGCACCAAGCTAAAACATATAAGGCAATATAGTGTCGGCGCTAACGCTAAAGCTAACAGGCTAATCTGAGGTTGTTCTTCCATGAAGCAGCTCTGTTGTCCTCCATCCATATTTTCAGTTCCAGGCTGAGTCATTTCTACCTTCTCCTCTCTGTCAACGCTCTCTGGTTTCATTTAAAAGAGTCGATCATCAGATATTGTCCAAGATTAACCTTCAGGGTGGATATAGCTCGCTAGCAGCCTCGCACCGAGGACCTATCCAYGTCATCATTTACCCAGAATGCTTTGTGTGGAAATAAAATCGCTCCGTCCGTGTTAAAATATATTTTTAAAAATGATAAAAACTAAACATCCTACAGTATTTTTACAGTCTTTATTTTACAGTTAAAATAAATGTTTATCAAATAAAGTCCAATGTTACAACTAATCATGGATCCCTTTAAATCCTGCTTTGGGAGAAGTTTTTATAGGAACAGATTTTAAACTGCTGTGATTTACAGGTTCCTCCTCCTCCTCCTCCTCCTCCTCCTCCCAGCCGGAGGAATAATTCACCAGCAGAGGAGAAGAGCGGCTCCAACAAGGGCTTTGAGCGTTTCGTTAAGATGCTCAACAAAGGAGCAGACACCAATTTGATGGATCTGGTACATCCTGGACTCTTTTCAATCCACGTATAAACATCTAAATTCACAAACTTAACAATATATTTATAAGCACTTAGTTAAGACACAAATGATTGAATCAGGCTTAAAGTTTATAAAACAGGTGCTGGTGTGTCTCAGACCAGCTGAAATGATCCAGTCGTGATTTGTTTTCATCCTCGGTTCGATGTGACGTGTCTCACAGGTTCCTGGTGTCCAGCTGCCTCCTCCCAGACAGAGCACCACTCCAGCTGGGAGACAGGAGGTCAGCTCCAGCAAAGGGTTCGACATCCTCCTTGGTGTTCTCAGCAAAGAAGCAGACCACAAAATTAAAGACACGGTAAATCCTGCAGAGACTTTTTAATAATTTTGTGGTCTCCATTCGCAGTTGTGTGCTTTTTAGGTAGTTAATTTTCTATTAAAACTCAGCAGCAAAGCTRCAACAAAGGCATAAACAGAGCCTGAAGGTTTTTATTTTGAAAAATTCACTAATATTTGAACTTGAAACGATGCCTGTGATCATCTTGTGTTCACAGGTTCCTGGTGTCCACCTGTCTCCCCCCACACAGAGCGCTCCTTCACCTGTGAAACGGGACAGCAGCTCGGGATGTGAGCGCCTCGGTGCGCTCAACAAAGGAGCTGACTCTAAATTAAAAGACTCTGTAGGTTTACAAGCGTCCTCAAACCGTCGTGTTTTCTCCAAATGTATTCCTGTTAATCTTACCCTAGGTATATTTATATAAAATCATTACCTTAACATTAACACTTGAGATGTTACGTCTTGTGTTTCACAGGTTCCTGACGGCCCGCGGCCCACTCCCGCTCAGATCAGAACTTCAGCTGTGAGGCAGCAGAGCAGCTCCAGCAAAGGAGCAGACCCAGACATTAAAGACACGGTGGGTTTAAGGGAAACTGTAGCTTTCGTTGATTCGTGCACCCTCCACATTTCCCAGCAACACGTACCCCTGTTATATCAAAACAACCGGCTCGGTGGTGAGAGGTCTGACATGACATAATTTGGCGACACGATGGATCAGTGGTTAATACCAACGCCTCACAGCAAGAAGGCCCTGCGTTTGATCCATGGTTTGGACCTGGGGTCTTTCTGTGCAGAGTTTGCATGTTCTCCATTAATGTTTATAGTTTGTTTTTGAGTAAATCTTTAGATTAAAATGTTACCCCGTGTTTAAATATTAGTTTTACATTTCTCTGTTCAGGGTGGATTAATAGTTTTATTTTTTTCTTTCCTTTTTTTTGAACTACCAACCTAACAGATTCCTGTTTTGTTATATTTTATAAATATGTCCAAGTTTAATAATGTGAGAGAAATCCACGATTTTCTGTTTATTCAGTCAGTGTTTAACACAACTGGCACAATGAATTTAATAAAATTACTTAAAAGTACTAATTTGACATGTAAAAAATTATCCCTTCATGTCGTAGATAGACCCTTGATTCAAGAGAAATGTCAGGTTTTTAGGAAAATGGCTGCTTATCAATTAATCGTTAGTGGATCGATAAGATTAATCAACTTTAAATTAATCCATTAATTGATAACTTGCATCACTAATCAAAATGTGGTTTTGCTATAGGACAAATGGTTTTCTCTCCCTATCTTTCTCTGTGTACATTTTTTGATGCAAAACATTTTTTACATCGTCATATCTCTGAGAAAAAGCGCTGTAAAAATATGAAAATTTCCATGATTAAGAACCAATCTCTTCTGTCACTCAGGTTCAAGAATTATTTCAATAGACCTTACAGTTTTCACACAGCAGCTGATTGAGCTAAACTTTTCTGAGATTTTCTCATGCTGAAAAAGAGGCGCTATCTGCCCCTCCCTGTGACGACATCACAGTCGGGCCTTCTGATTGGCTGAGGCTCTTACTGGGCGGAGTAGCGACACAACACTGAAGGGGCTTTGTGTAACCCAACACAGCGCATAGATTTCGCAGCAGTTTTAAGACATACAAAGCTGAAATTTGGTGTGGTGGTAGCTGAGAGCTAACTCAACACATTCTGAATTCTAGTTGCAAGTTTAAGCTAACAGCTAATGCTAATTTTAAAAAAAGCTCTAATTCAGCATTTTAAGACTTACAAAGCTAGAAACTGGTAAAGTAGTAGCCATGTTTAAGCTTTGGCAAATTATGAATGCTAAATGAAAATTCAAGATGCCATAGCTAAAACAAATAAGTTACCATAACGCTGCCATTTTAAGCAATTTTTGAGGTGTAATTTGGTGTGGTGGTAGCCAAGAGTAAATCCTCAAAACTGTTGAAAATAATTTTCCATCAAGAAGCAAATCCTTTCATAGCATCTCCAGGAACTATTTTAGTTAATAGATAAATTGTTTTTGTTCACTCGAGGCTAAATCTTAATTTTAGAGCCTCGTAAAAATATTATTTAGTTCTGATGTTAAACTCTAGAACTGATAGAGASCAGTCTTGATGTGTTTGACCTACAAGTGATACTTTGCTTCTCAGGCTCCTGATGTCCCGCCGGCCCCGCCCAGCCGGAGCGCCGCCTCTCCAGCGAAGGAGAAAACCGCTGAGAAGGGTTTCGAGCACTTCCTCAGCCTGCTCAACAAAGGAGTGGACATCGGTTTGCTCAACAAGCTCGCCAAAGACGATGGAGAAGATCCAAACATTTCTGTGGAAACCAACACGCTCCGTCGAGCCGAACCCCTGCCTGGAGCTAAGAGGGATGAGACCGAAACACCAGGCTCTAGTTCAGACTCCCGCGGACAGTCAGAGTCGCCCCCGTCGGTGAAGAAAAAGGAGGAAGATGGAGAGCCAAGTTTGGACGAAAAGCACAAACAGCTGCAGAACATTCTTCAAAGTCTGGGCTTGACTCTGAACCTTGAGGACATGAGCAGACTAACTGATCGCACTCAGGCGAGGCTGTACGGGAAGAGGAGTGGAGAGGGAGAGGGGAGGGGTGAGAGGGAGGGGAGCGGGGAGAGGGAGGGGAGCGGGGAGAGAGGGGGGAGCGGCAAGCGAGCCAGGAGCTACGAGAGAGAACGAAGTGGAGAGAAAGACAGGAGCAGAGAGAGAGAGAAGAGCCGTGAGAGAAAGAGGAGTAGCGAAAGAGAGGGGCGGAGCTATGAGAGAGGGGGGAGGAGCTACGAGAGAGAGCGAAGGAGCAAGAGAGAAAAAAGCTACAACAAGATGAACTACCCGACACGCTCATTCAAAAACCACACAGATTCACGCTCCTCTTCCTCTTCCTCTTCGTTCAGTTCTTCCTCCTCCTTCTCTTCCTCCCCTTCCAGGTCCAGAAGCAGGAGCCCCTCGTGTCGCGGGCGGCATTCCCGCAGCAGAAATAAACRCAGCCGTTCTCGCAGAAGAAGCCGAGATCGGCCCAGACACAGCAACAGGAAGGAGGCGCAAAGACGCGGCCGCAATGACGAGATGTTTCCTTTTGCTAACGCCGCAGATTACAGCTCGTACCAGTACGCCCAGTACATCAGCTACTGCAACACCTACGGCATCGCCGTGAACCCCTACTGGTTCTACCAGCAGAACAGTCTACTCCCTGAACAGCCTGATGGCTCCACGTCCAGTGCAGGTGTTTTCCCTTACCTGGATTATAACTCGTTTCAAGCCATGGTGGATCCAGGCCTGGCTCTAACTGAAGGTCAGAGTGGAACGGACTCTTCTCGCTGCCTGACGGTCGTCGACATCGTGAGGTCCTCGAGCCGCCTCAGCACAAATTATACCAACTCCAGGATGAGGAAGAGGGTTAGAGCGAATGCTCAAGTGACAGGATGGCATCGGAGGGAAAAGACATCATCAGCAGAGAGGAGGGCAAAGTCTCCGGAAAAGAAGAAGGGACCCACAGAGGTGATCACTTCGAAGGTGAAAGCYCTCTTGGAGAAGGGACACAGCGTGGAAGCTCTGCCGTCAGAAGAGCAGAAGGTGCCAACTCAGCAGGACACAAAGTCTGTCCAGGGTTTGGTCAGTAAAAGAGTCGGGCTAACGGCTGGCTCGAGCGGAGCCTCTTCCAAAACAGTTTCCAACCGTCCTGGAAAAGCTCCAGTCCCGACCGAGAGGAAAACACAAACAGAGGAGGAGATAAAGGCCAGGCTGAGGATGAAGGTTGGTCAGGAAGAAACTGACATTCAGTTCTGAAAGTCAGCGACTAAATAGATGCTCGTGTCAAAACGTTAGCTTCACTAAACTAAACCACATATCTGCTAAAGGATTCGCTTAGCTTAGCTAATCTTAGCTAATGCTAAACAGATCAAGATTAGCTGAAGCTAATGGTAACCGCTAAGACGACTGTCAGGACTGACACAAACGTTGTTAGTTTTCCATTGGTTTAGTTTGAAGGTGGGYGGGATCATCTGTGTCAAATCAGCCAATCCAAACCAGAGTTAGAGCTCTGAATTACTTTTGATGTTCCTAGTTTACCCCTTTCAGAGTAAAAGCATTTCTAGATTGAGTTTGTGTTTTTATAAATACTGTTGAAATTTAGTCAAACAGCAAATAGAAAATGCTTTCTCTTTTTTGAATTTATTTAAATATTGTTAAATATTATTACTTTCCTTAGCATAAAAGTTAATCAGCTAATTGTGAAGCTAGTTTTGCTATTAGCAGATGAGCAAACTGTGCCCACCACTGGGCATTTGTGTTTTATTTTGATGTGGCCTGCAGTGCAGGATTTGTCTCATTTATGTTTTTTTATTTATTTATTTTTTAGCTTCTGGCTTTTAATCAGAAGGCCAAGGAGATGACGAAGCCACAAAACTCAATCATCAAGCAGCCAGAAGACCCCCTGGCCTCTGAGCTCAGCTAATGTAAGAATATTTTCATCATTAGCAGGTGATGTTTTTTACAGTGTGTGTATATATATATTTGTGTATGTGTACAGAAAATGGATGGATGGATGTGTGTGTGTGTGTGTGTGTGTGTGTGTGTGTGTGTGTGTATACTATATATATACAGTATATATATATACAGTGTGTGTATATATATATATACTGTATGTATATATATATATATATATGTATATATAGATATATTCAGTATATACTGTATATATATACTGTTTATTTTTATTGACAGCTTTAAGTAACTCTCAGTTCTCTTTTTTTTCTCCCAGAGATCAGTGAACTGTGGAAACGGTTCTGAGGATCTTTGGATCAGAAACATTCATGTTTAAGTTTTGTTTTTGTTTTTTTTACACATTCACTTTAACAAGCATCTGAAATCTCACCTGTTTTCAACAGAACGGTTTCAAACTCTAAAAATAAATGAAGAATAGTTTTTATGGGACGTCTGCAGGTTATAGTTATGGTGCCACTGTTTTATTTTCTCCTCTTGTATGAACTTCTTTCTGTTAAATCTCTTCTATTGCAGTTTAAGGAAACGTTTAATTTGTGTTTATTTCTTGTCTGCTTGAGTAAAATTTACCAGAAAACTTTAATGGCTTTGGATGCTTTCTTTAACTTTAGTTGTTTTATTTTTGTGTTTTTATTTAAAAGAACAAAGTTTGTCTAAAGACCTGAGACATTATTTATTGTCATATGAAACATATTAAAATTACTGGACAAGTTTAAAATCCGTCTCCCTCCCTTTAGTTTTTAGCTGTTCATAAAAYCTTCAGCTCTTTCAGCAACTTTTACATTTTTTTAAATAATTGCCTTTTTTCTTTTTACAAACATTTCCTCATTGAAACACTACTTTCAGCTAATGTTTTAGCGCTTTAGCTTTTGAGTTAATCATTTGCTGCATTTAGCTTCTAAACACACTTGATACTTTTAGCTAACACTTTGTTGTTGTTAGCACGTTACATACTTATTTGCTACCTTTAGCTACTCTTTTGCCGTATTTGATGTTTGTAATGTGTCTGCTGTTAGCGTTAAGCTTCATTTTATACATCTTAGCGAAGCTTTTGCTAACTTACCTTCTGACCAGCGTTTGATGATGTTTTGTTTTTAGCTAGCAGTTTCTACTTGTAGCGTTTAGCTAGAATTTTTCTACTTACACTTTAGCAAGTCTTGTTTCTACATTTAGCTTCTAGCTACAATTTTTCTGCTTTTAGCAAGTGTTTTGCTAATTTAGGCTATTTTTCTAGCATTTTTGCTTCTTTAACTTTGGCTCAGTTTATTCGGCTTGATATTTTTTTCTATTTAAAGAATTGAAAAACACATTTTTTGGATGTGAATCAGACTTTCTAGCTTCTAAAAGATCATCAGCAAGAAGCAGGCTTTTCAGCTGGAGAAAAAAAACAGCTAAACTCCTGCTGAAAATAATTTAGATAATTTCTAGAGTTCTGCTAAATGAGCTGTTCTGCTGGTTTATACCTTCAGGTCATGAATGCTGCCAGAATAAACAAAGTTTATATTTTTATTTTACATGTATTTAACATTTGTAGGACCTTATTTCCAGTGGAACACTTAAACACCAGTTTCTGGGCATTTGACAACTTTTGTTTATGAAGTTTAATTTTTAGGAGGAAAATAAGTAAAACGTTTCAAATAAATTACTGAAGTATTCGCAGCTGAGAGGCGTGGCGTGGATCTGGAGTTAAAATATATAAGATAAAAAGGAGTCTGCTCGTGGTCTAAAGTTCATCTTTCTCCTCTCCTTGGCAGTAGCAGGCGGCTCGCTGGCTGTTCATGTAGGGTCTGCAGCCGAGGGTCCACACCGTGTTGAACAGAGTGTCGGCTACTGTTTCACAAGCTGGAGACAAAAGAGACAGAAGGTCAGAGCAGGAGGAGGACATCGTCAGAGGTTCAGTGTTTAAAAATATAAAAATAATGGGAGATAAAACACTTTATTTAACAAAAGCTGGATGGAACAGAAACGGGTCCAGGAGCTTGTAGAACTCTGAGCTTTATCGTTGGTTTCTTCTCAGCTCTCTGAAGGTCCCTCCTCAGTGTTTCAGTCAGGTTCTGGACTCGTTGCAGCACCTTTGACCCGTTCTGTTGTAGACCAGCTGCTGTGGTTCTGTTGGACCCAGTTTGGTCCAAATGTCAGCTCTAGATGGACTCGCATCTGGTCTACAGGTGGTCCGACCAGCAGAGGTGTCAAGTAACCAAGTACAAATACTTTATTACTTTACTTAAGTAGGCATTTTTGTTATTTATACTTTAGTGGAGTAGTTAATGTTCAGCCTACTTTTTACTTCTACTCCTTACATTTTAATTCAGTTATCTGTACTTTCTACTCCTTACTTTGTAATAATACAAAAAGTATTTTATTTCTATTCAACTTTGACTTGTTTTTATTCATCTTTTCATTGGTCATTGGACTGAACTCAGTCCCTCCCACCTGTATGACACAGATCACATCACATCCAGCAGGACAGACTGTAGCAGATGGAGCCTAGAATGAAGATGATCRTGGCTGAAACAACTAGTCGAGTCAGCTAATTCCAAATTTTTCAACATTAACGTTTTAATTTAACATTATACTCATTATTGACTTTAGAAGAAAAATGGAGGGGTGTACGCTACAGCAGTGGTTCCCAAAATTTTCAGCTTTTGACCCATAAAACAGCAGCAGCAGAGACCTGTGCCCCCAGCTGTTGTCGGTTGATAAACATTGTTTTCATGTCAACTAAACAAGAGCATGTCATTNTTGTAACTGTTATTTTTTTCTACACTAAATGTAACAATATGCTATTTCTTCATAATTATACACGCTACTGTAAATATTTGTGATGCCCTCAAATGTTTAATCACATTGTGGAGTAAAATGTTTTTGTTTTTTTGTCACGAGAAAGGTCCCATCTTTATATATTTTCTCTGTTAAGAGTCCTGGTTTTTGAGTGTAGTTCTGGTAGTTCACCAGCAGAGGGAGCAGCTCCTCAGGTGAGTGCTGGGTGTGGTAGGCCGCTCGGAGCTCAGATCAGAGCCTGCCTGTGGACCGACAACATCTCACGCATGTTTCTGTACTCTTTTCTGCAAAAATACAGGTTAGTAGCATGAGTATGTCAACTCCAATTACTTTTAAGTTTATATTAACTACTTTTGTATTAAATGTAAAAACATTTAAAACGGGAAGTCTGTGTTTAAGTTGCAGTTTATTCGGCTTGATATTTTTTTCTATTTAAAGAATTGAAAAACACATTTTTTGGATGTGAATCAGACTTTCTAGCTTCTAAAAGATCATCAGCAAGAAGCAGGCTTTTCAGCTGGAGAAAAAAAACAGCTAAACTCCTGCTGAAAATAATTTAGATAATTTCTAGAGTTCTGCTAAATGAGCTGTTCTGCTGGTTTATACCTTCAGGTCATGAATGCTGCCAGAATAAACAAAGTTTATATTTTTATTTTACATGTATTTAACATTTGTAGGACCTTATTTCCAGTGGAACACTTAAACACCAGTTTCTGGGCATTTGACAACTTTTGTTTATGAAGTTTAATTTTTAGGAGGAAAATAAGTAAAACGTTTCAAATAAATTACTGAAGTATTCGCAGCTGAGAGGCGTGGCGTGGATCTGGAGTTAAAATATATAAGATAAAAAGGAGTCTGCTCGTGGTCTAAAGTTCATCTTTCTCCTCTCCTTGGCAGTAGCAGGCGGCTCGCTGGCTGTTCATGTAGGGTCTGCAGCCGAGGGTCCACACCGTGTTGAACAGAGTGTCGGCTACTGTTTCACAAGCTGGAGACAAAAGAGACAGAAGGTCAGAGCAGGAGGAGGACATCGTCAGAGGTTCAGTGTTTAAAAATATAAAAATAATGGGAGATAAAACACTTTATTTAACAAAAGCTGGATGGAACAGAAACGGGTCCAGGAGCTTGTAGAACTCTGAGCTTTATCGTTGGTTTCTTCTCAGCTCTCTGAAGGTCCCTCCTCAGTGTTTCAGTCAGGTTCTGGACTCGTTGCAGCACCTTTGACCCGTTCTGTTGTAGACCAGCTGCTGTGGTTCTGTTGGACCCAGTTTGGTCCAAATGTCAGCTCTAGATGGACTCGCATCTGGTCTACAGGTGGTCCGACCAGCAGAGGTGTCAAGTAACCAAGTACAAATACTTTATTACTTTACTTAAGTAGGCATTTTTGTTATTTATACTTTAGTGGAGTAGTTAATGTTCAGCCTACTTTTTACTTCTACTCCTTACATTTTAATTCAGTTATCTGTACTTTCTACTCCTTACTTTGTAATAATACAAAAAGTATTTTATTTCTATTCAACTTTGACTTGTTTTTATTCATCTTTTCATTGGTCATTGGACTGAACTCAGTCCCTCCCACCTGTATGACACAGATCACATCACATCCAGCAGGACAGACTGTAGCAGATGGAGCCTAGAATGAAGATGATCRTGGCTGAAACAACTAGTCGAGTCAGCTAATTCCAAATTTTTCAACATTAACGTTTTAATTTAACATTATACTCATTATTGACTTTAGAAGAAAAATGGAGGGGTGTACGCTACAGCAGTGGTTCCCAAAATTTTCAGCTTTTGACCCATAAAACAGCAGCAGCAGAGACCTGTGCCCCCAGCTGTTGTCGGTTGATAAACATTGTTTTCATGTCAACTAAACAAGAGCATGTCATTATTTATTACAGTATTTTTGTCCATTTTAAGTACACTAATATTATGTAAAATCAAATGGGAAAAATGTGTATTTTTGTGTAATTAAAAATATATTTTCAGGACCCCACCTTGATGTTTCAGGACCCCACTGTGGGTCCCGACCCCAACTTTGGAACCACTGCGCTGTAGAACCCTGTGGCACAGCCTAAGCTTTTATCCTTAATGGCTTTTTAAGTGTTCATTACTTTTACTTTTATACTTTAAGTAGTTTCAAAACCAGTACTTTTATACTTTTACTTGAGTAAAAAGCTTGAGTTGATACTTCTACTTCCTAAAAAGTATTTTTAAACCCTAGTATCTATACTTAAGTAATGAATGTGAATACTTCTGACACCTCTGTGATCAGTGACTGCAGGGAGCCCTCCACCTGCTGACCGGTGGGAGGAGCTGTTCGCTGCAGTGCATTCTGGGTAAACTTTGGTCCTTTTGGTCTGGTTTGGTTCGTTGGACGAATCTTTGRAGTAGAGCTGCCATGTTGCTTTTAAAAAGAAACAAACATGGCCTGACCTTTGACCTTTCCTTTGACCTTGAACTTGGTAACTGAGGTCTGAGCTGCATTACAAAGTCTGACCTTCGGGGTAAATTTGGCAGCTATAGTTGCTTGTCTGAGGCTTTTCCAGCTGGGCGTTGTGTTAACACCTGTAGCTGCAGGTATCAGGATCAGTTAATCACCTGCTCCTTTGAACTTGTAAGGAAGCCCTGAAGGTGGATTTGTTTTTCACTCTTTCTGCGTTTTGTTTGAGTTTTTGTTAAATAACGTGTTTTCTGACGGTGAACGTACCGGCTGCAGCCGTTAAACCATGTCGGGTTACTGACCTTCGACCTTCGACACGAAGCCCAGGCTCTTCTTCAGGTCGGAGCAGATGCTGTGGAGGCACCAGCGGAACTTGGAGTCGCAGCGATACTTGTTGGAGCCGCAGGTGTCGTAACACATGTCCAGCTGGTTACAGCACTTGGTCATAGCAGGGATGCCCACGTCCATCTGACACAAAAAAATCGCCAAAATGTGACATTTCATTCAATATGGCCGACCTGTAGGTTTTAGGATAGGGTGCCAAGAGACTTTTTTGTAGGGCCTGAACCGCTGTACCTTTGCACTAAATTTCATACATGTACGTTAAAGTGGCCAGTTTGCCACGCCCACATCTGGATTTCTGCATCTCCCCCTTTTTACAATGGATCTAAATAACTGCCAAGTTTCATAAAGCTCGGCAAAAGCCTCCTGTCTGGAGAAGAACAATAACAATCAAGTCAAAAGCAGGTGCAGGAAATGGATAAAGTAAAGTTACCCCGTCTGGAACAGGAAGACCGAAGAAGTACGAGCTGCACCCGTCAGGCTCCGGCACCTTGTATCCTACACGAGGAAGAGGAGCTTTACCTGTAAATAAACACACAAACTGATTTAACTCACATTTTCACAGAGAAACAAACTCCTACATGATTACACTTGTTATCACCGCAAGGCCACAGTTCGTTCCTCAGAGGAGAAAATGACAAAAAAATCAAATAAATTCACCTTTTTTAGTGAGCAGAAGCTTTGAGAAACAGTAATTTGACACCTAAAATATACTAAATGGAGACTTTTAAAACGTTTATTTATAATAAATTTGACTGTTTTCAGATGTTAGAAGTTTGCAGATTTCTCTAAATGATAAAAGCACTATTTATACTATATAACGCAATAATTGTTCCACATATGATTTATTGTATAGAAGTCCGGGGAACTGCATGTAAAACAGTTACTAATACTATTTTTATTTTACAAAAAAGCCGTAAGAATTATCACAAGAAAGCAGTACTATCACCCATCTAATATATTGTTTCATCAATTAAAATTATTAAAATTTTGAGTTGGTTGATTATAACATTCTGCAGGTTATGTATAAAGCTCATAAAAATGTGTTACCCATTCTTGTGTAAAGTACCTCAAAGTGATACTTGAGTAAAAGTACAAGTATCTTATCATAAAAATACTTTGGTAAAAGTTAAAG